TGGATAGTATAACAAATCGACACCATTGTTCCCGATCTAAGTATAGCGTCATGTATTTCATTAATTCAAAGATTTTGAAAACGTTTTAAAATAATAAATTTACATTATCCCTAGCAAAAATTATTATTATTGGTTGACTTTAAGACACTAGCCGCCATAAAATTATGTCCATAATTTTTAGAATTTAAAAAAAAATTAGGTCCACTTTAGCTGTAATCGTTATTTCTAATTGGGTAGCAAATCTTTTTATAAATCACTAGCATATGCCAGCTACTTTGTTAGCAAATGTGGGTAATATTTAACCATGTATTAACATATTATTTTATTTTCATATATATGTCAGAAAAACTAATCAATCCACATCCATGTGATCCTTAATCCAAGTTTCAGGATTCCAACTCTATCGGTTCACCCACAATTCAAATTGTTCCAAATATAGTACACAGTAGTACGAATTTCTAAAACTTCCTTCATACCACAAACCTACACCCCATAGTGATCCTTAATCCAAGTTTCAGGATTCCAACTCTATCGGTTCACCTACAAATTAAATAGTACTAAATTTAGTACATAATAGTACCAATTTCCAAAACATTCTACTTACTCCAATCCTACCCTCACACTGATCCGAAATCCAAGTATCTGGATTTCAACTCTATCGGTTCACCCACAATTCAAATTGTACCAAATTTAGTACACAGTAGTACGAATTTCTAAACTTTTACATATCTCAATCTTACACCTCAACAGTGATTCTAACTCCAAATTTCATGATTCTAACTCTATTGGTTCACCTAAAATGCAAATTGTACTAAATTTAGTACCATTTAGTGCCAATACGTATTATTTTTTTAAACTGTATCCTGATCCCAACACCAAACCCCTACAGTGATCCTGACTCCAAATTTCATTGTTACCGCTCTATCGTATCACCCAAATCCAAACTGTACCGATTATAGTACGATTTAGTACACATAAGAAACAAATTTCCAAAACAACGTTTATATCCCAACTGTACACTCCGACGGTAATTTTAATTTCAAATTCCAGGATTCCAGCTCGATTTGTATCTCCAAATTAAATTTTTACCAAATATAGTACCGTATAGTACTCTTCGTACACATGAGTACACGCTTTCAAAACCATCTCCTTAAATGGACCCTACTTCTCAACCATAATTCACATTCCAAATTTCAAGTTTTTAGAGATATCCGTTCACGTGCTACATAATTGTACCAAATTTAGTACATTTTTGTACTTTTCGGATAGTTCTAGTTCGAATTTCCAAAAACCCTTTGGTACATCTAACCTACACTCCATCAACGACCACTAAACCGGTTCGCCAAATACAAATGGTATCACATTTAGTACTTTTCGTACTGTTCTAGTACGAAAAGCCCAGCCTTATTTGTCACATTTGCACCAAGAGTGACCCTGGGTTACCAGCCGAACTATTCAAGACTGGTGGCCAGATGCTGGTCAGGAGCATGCACCAGCTGATTAGCACAATTTGGCTAGATGAATTCATGCCCAATGATTGGAACCTCAGCAGCCTGTGTCCCGTGCACAAAAAAGGAGACAAGACGATATGTGCCAACTATAGAGGAATAAGTCTCCTTCCCATCGCATATAAAGTACTATCCAGTGTGCTGTGTGAACGATTGAAGCCAATGGTCAATGACATCATCGGACCATACCAACGCGCAAGACGTCCAGTAGACTCGGACCAACTGTGGAACTTGAGAACTACAGCTTCGAAGTAGTTAAAGACTTTATATACCTTGGTACAGCCATAAATAAAACGAATGACATCAGTTTTGAAATTAGGAGAAGGATTGTGATGGCCAACAGATGCTACTATGGTCTAAGTAAGTAGTTTAGAAACAAGGCCACCTCCCGCCAGACCAAACTCACACTTTACAAGACGCTGATACTACCCGTGCTATTATATGGATCAGAAGCATGGGTACTTGCGCAAGCAGATGATGCAGCTCTTGGCGTGTTTGAGAGAAAAATTATCCGAAAGATCTACGGGCCGATCTGCGTCGACGGTGAATATCGGCATAGAATGAACCACGAGCTTTACAATTTATACGCGGACATCGACGTAGTCAGTCGTATTGAACTGCAGCGACTACGGTGGCTAGGCCATGTTGTGCGGATGAATGAAAATGCCCCAGCTCAAAAGGCATATAAAAATGAGTCTACTGATGGTTCCCGTAGAAGGGGAAGGCCACGAATTAGATGGAAAGAGCAAGTAGAAAACAACATCTTGGAACGTGGTCTTCCAAATTGGTGGACTTGCGCACAAGATCGACGCGCTTAGAAATCTTTTTTAAGCTCGGCTTATGGAACAACCGTTCTGTAACAAGCCAGCTAAGTAAGTAGAAAGTAAGTAAGTGACCCTCACCCAAAATTTCAAGATTCTAACTTCAGCCGTTTCGTCTGGTCGTTAATTAATCGTTAAATCAATCAGCCAGTCAATCACTTTACTCTTTTATTAGTATTGATAAATAAAGCCGTAATTTTCAATACTATGAGGATTTCTTATGTATTTTCAATTCTCAATATTTGGAAAATTCTGAGATGATAATGAAATTTCCCATCAAGAAAGGATCAGAAACTCTTTAAATGTGTATGTGTATTTTTATATATATACTTAAAACTATTCCATTTCTCGTGATAATGGATGTTAACCTATTCTATTTACCCCTGCTATTCTATCGAACATGACCCAAAATTCACATTACATTGTGGCTATAACCCAAACTATCAACGAAGGAAATGAGAAAACTTTCCACTAAATCTTCTAATGAATCCTATTTTAAAAAGAATCCTCATTAACGTACAATTTTGAAACTCTAATGGCATGCGATTGGTTTTAAAACTTAAAAAAAATATTTGAGGGTTGCTTGGATGGTTGGTTGGTTGGCGATGGTAATTCACCGGTGACAGTGTGCTTGCTCTTCGTTCGTTGTTAATGATGTTGTTTATGATGATGGTACTTGGCGACGTATACGTGATATCAGACCAAAATTGCATTACTCATGCGACATGTTGTCGTCGTCGACGATGTCATCGTCAACATTTATGACAATTCCGTTGTTTTTGTGTGTGGCTTTTGTTTTTTGTTTTTGTATGCTCGATGGTTGGTTGGTTGCTTAGTTGGTTATCCACCAACATTATCTCTACTCATCTCATGCTAAGCATAGAAAAATTCCATTAAATAATGAAAATACACATATGTAAGAAGGCGAGCGTGCACACACACACACAGACACATTAGAATTTCCCCACACATACACACACTTAGCCACGTCACCCCTTTTGTTTGTAAATACAAATATCCATTTCCTTCGAGGGTCATTGATGCAGAATTAATGACAAACTGTGCCAACGTGAAAACTGAATGACTTGACTGAAAGAATGCAACGATTGGAAAGTACAACAACAAGCAATGCAGAACGAAGCAACTACTCAAAAATCGAACATAACTGAGAGAGATATATGATTTACCATCAAATGGTATTGAAAACAAACCAAAACACCCACACAACCACACAAAACATATTTGTATGTTGTAAATCATGCGTTGCATCCACATGAAGGATATCTTTTTTTGGAATCCTCTACTATTTTTATACCCTTCACCACTCTGGGGTACAGGGTATTATGTCTTTGTGCATATGTTTGTAACAGGCAAAAATAATCGAGATATACCCATGTTTCCTTTTGAGAATATGCATAGAATCACTTTCTGAGTCGATCTGTCGATGTTAAATTGTAAACAAAGTGCAGGTCGCATTTATAATCCGAATTGGATGAAATTTGCACAGGCCACTTATTTGGCTCAAGGATGAACCCTATAGAAATTGGGAAAATTCGGTTCAGATTTAAATATAGCCCCCATATATATTTTCGTCCGATTTAAGGTAAATGGTGCACCAAAGTCCCAATATATCTTTCGATTTGCACGAAATTTTGCACAGCGTACTGATTTAAGTCTAGAATGATGTGTGAAAAGTTTTGTGAAAATCGGTTCAGATTTAGATATAGCTCCCATATATAGCATCGCCCGATTTTATGTAAATAGTCCACTAAAGTCCTTGGAAATCTTTTGACTTGCACGAAATTTGGCACAGCGTAGTGAATAAGGTCTAGAATGGTGTTTGCCAAGTCTGTGAAAATCGGTTCAGATTTAGATATAGCTCCCATATATATCTTCTTCCGATTTAAGGTTAATTGTTTACCAAAGTCCCTATATATCTTTTGATTTGCAAGAAATTTTACACAGCGTACTAAATTAAATATAGAATGATATGTGCAAAGTTTCGTGAAAATCGGTTCAGATTTAGTTATAGCTCCCATATATAGCTTCGCCCGATTTTAGGTAAATAGTCCACTAAAGTCCCTGGAAATCTTTTGATGTGCATGAAATTTGGCACAGAGTTATGAATAAGATCGAGAATGATGTCTGCCAAGTTTCGTGAAATTCGGTTCGGATTTAGATATAGTTCCCATATGTATTTTCATCCGATTTAAGGTAATTGGTGCACCAAAGACCCTATAAATCTTTCGATTTGCACGAATTTTGGTATAGGGTACTGTAATAAGTCTAGAATGATGTTGCAAAGCTTCACGAAAAGATCCATAGCTAGGCCGATTGACACATCGTACTGATGTTATATAAATTAGTCTCTGGTAAGTTCCCCTGAATTGGTTCAGATATAGATTTATAACAAAACGCGTCGTTTGTTAGGATACATTTGTAAAATATACCCAAAGTGGTGAAGGGTATCATATAGTCGGCCCAGTCCGACTGTACTACTTTCCTTACTGGTTTTATTGTTTTGGATGGGAGGGGGAAATATTTATAACACCAAATATAGCTTCTTTTTCGTATTGTTACTGCTTCACTATATTGTGGTTTACATGTGAGTGTGATTTTTTTTCCATCATTTTCATATTTTTCTTCTTCTTGTTATTTTCATTGCAGTGTAAAAACCGATATGCTACCCGGACGTGCTTTCAGTCGCCTCTATATTGCCAATGCCAATCGACATGATACTGGCAACTATTCATGTACCCTTGGTAATGATATCACTGGAACAGTGATGGTACACGTTCTAAATGGTATGTATGAAATCATCCCCACCACACACTACCCCTTTTCCCAGCAGCACCTACACACACACACACCCACACACATGTAATAACTATTGACTACACCCTATGAACAGAATGCAGGAAAAAAGTGATAACCAACAAAATCAAATATCGAACACGATATAAATTTTCCAATTTCGAGGGAGAGTGTTGAAATCTCTTACGGTGTTTTTGTTTGTTCGTGTTACTATTGTGTAAAAATGTAATCATAAAAAAAAGTTACACCCCTTTGCAAAAAATGGCAATGGCAACCATTCAATAATAAACAATATGCATGCATTTCATTATTCAAACAATATAACCACAACCACCATGTAGCTCATACCTTCCCCCGTCATACCCCCCACCAGTCATCCATCTATCCATCCAATTCATCTACCCAATATGATATTCGCACGTAATGATTTCCAATATTATATTTTCATGCACAATTGCAAAACTTCTGCTACAGCTTCTTCTTCTTAATGATCTTGATGTTCTTCATCTGATATATTATCGGTAAATATGAAATTGGAAATTGAACAATGTTGTTTGAACAACAACAACAAAAACAATATCGCTAACAAAAAAGAAGCGAAAGAACCAGCATTACAAGTTCTGTTAATAATTGGATTATATTCTCGAAGGGATTTAAAAGAGAACAAAAACCAAACTAATAATTGTAAAAAAACGGCAACACTTGTTCCTGTTTTTGTTTTGTTATTGCAGTTGTTGTTGGTTTATCTTCTTCTCATAAATCAATGCAAAATTTTTGAATATTTCATTAACGAAACACATGACTTGATTTTTCTCATTTCCGAGAAGCTTATAAATATTTGAATATTCAAATTTGTATGCGAAGAAGAAGAAAAACACAAACATGTTAAGGCTACATTCGAACTGCATCGGAAAATGTATTTTGTGGATAACTAACTACATACGGAAGGAGGGAAAGAAAAATATGAGGAACAGAATTTATAATACTCTCCATTACATTGGATATGTGCAGTAGTTATTCCTAGAATTTCTATTAGATCTAAATTTTACACACACCATTCTAGGAACAAGATTTTGTGGCGGTGGCAACTACCATTGTTGAAGAAATCTTGGTGAGTATATGTATACCCCAGATGGACAAATTAGCCATTGGTCAAAGTTTGGAGACAGAGTATGATCATTTTTTTTTTATACCCTTCACCACACTATGGTACAGGGTATTATGTCTTTGTGTATATGTTTGTAACAGGCAAAAGGAAACGTGATAGACACATGGTTCCTTTTTAGAATATGCATAGAATCACTTTTTAAGGGGACCCCCCCCCCATTGTCGGGGTCAAAAAGTCTATAGCTATCGTATGAACGATAAAGTCAATCGGTGAAGATCTTCCTTATTTTTTAACTTGGTTTTTGGCCAAAAATCGGCGATTTTCCAAAAATATTTTTTCAATGGTCCGCCATTTTGTTAATTTTAGAGCGAAGTCAATAATCCTAGTTCATACAAGAGCCAGACATGTACTCTTTCTAACACCGTTGGAATTTTCGGATTCCGATGTTCCAGTGAGGAGTTATCATGCCCGCCATCAAAAATAATGACTTTCTTTAATAACAAAAAACAACAACAAGACAACAACAATTTTTTTTTGTAAATTATTTTTCTTCTTTTTTAAATCTTCAAATATATATGTGCAAAGTTACAAACCTTAACAATCATTGGTATTGATTAGCCAGCCCATTGAAAATCGTGAAAAATTAAAATAGAGAATGGGGGTTCCCTTAAGTCGATTTATACATGTCCGTCCGTGCGTCCGTCCGTCTTTCTGTCTGTCCATGTTAAATTGTAAACAAAATACAGGTCGCATTTATGATTGGATGAAATTTGGCATAGGTGGTCCAGATTTAGATATAGCTCCCATATATATTTTCGTCCGATTTAAGGTAAATGGTGTACCAATGTCCCTATATATCGTTCGATTTGCACGAAATTTGGCATAGCAAAATGAATTATGTTTAAAATGATATGTGTTAAATTTCCTGGAAATCGGTTCAGATTTAGATATAGCTCCCATATATATTTTCATCCGATTTAAGGTAATTGGTGCACCAAAGACCCTATATATCTTTAGATTTGCACGAAATTTGGCATAGCGTAATGAATTATGCCTAGAATTATGTGTATTAAGTTTCCTGAAAATCGGTTCAGATTTAGATATAGCTCCCATATATATTTTTGTCCGATTTTATGTAAATGGTGCACCAAAGTCTCTATATATCCTTCGATTTGCACGAAATTTGACATAGCGTACTCAATTAATACTAGAATGATCTGTGCAAAGTTTCGTGACATTCGGTTCAGATTTAGACATAGCTCCCATATATATTTTCATCCGATTTAAGGTAATTGGTGTACCAATGACCCTATCCATCTATTTGCACGAAATTTGGCATAGCGTACTGAATTACGTCTATAATAATGTGTGCAAAGTTTCGTGAAAATCGGTTCAGATTTAGATATAGCTCCCATATATATTTTCATCCGATTTTATGTAATTGGTGCACCAAAATCTCTGAAAATAATTCGATTTGCACGAAATTTGTCATAGCGTACTGAATAAAGGCTAGAATGACGTGTGCTAAGTTTCGTGAAAATTGGTTCAGATTTAGATATAGCTCCCATATATCACTTTCTGAGTCGATTTATGCATGTCCGCCCGTCCGCCTGTCTGTTTGTCCATGTTGAATTGTAAATAAAGTACAGGTCACATTTATAATCCGAATTGGATGAAACTTGGCACGGCTCATTTATTTGGCCCAAGGACGAACCCTATTGAAATTGGTAAAAATCGGTTCAGATTTAGATATAGCTCCCATATATAGTTTCGTCCGATTTTCAGTAAATGGTAGACTAAAGCTCTAAATTATGGCCGTGTTACACAAAATTTTGCACAACATACTGAAGTTGGGATAGACTAAAGTGTGCCAAGTTTTACTGAAATCGGTTCAGATTTAGATATAGCTTCCCCAATTAGAGTCGTCTGATTTTAAGTAAATGGTGCACCAAAGCTCCAAATTGTGGCCGATTTTCCCAACATTTTGCACAGCGTAATGAAATTGGTATAATCTGCTATGTGGAAAGTTTCGCTGTAATCGGTTCAAATTTAGATATAGCTCCCATATATAGTTTCGTCCGATTTTCAGTAAATGGTGCACCAATGCTCCAAAATATTTCCGATTGGCACAACATTTTTCGTACTGAAGTTAGTATGACGTACTGAAGTTAGTATAAACTACGGTGTAGAAAGTTTTGCTGAAATCCGTTCAGATTTTGATATAAGTCCCAGGTATAGTTTCGTCAGATTTTATGTAAATGGTACACCAAAGACCCTATGTTAGTCCGATTGTGTGTCTATTTTTTTTGAAATCGGCTTAGATTTAGATTAGCTATCATATCGTCCGATTGACACAATTTGACGTAATTGTATTTTTTAGCTAAGCGGATATAGCCCACATATACTTTAGATATCCAATTGAAATTTCCTATAAATCGATTTATATAATTTTTCCCCATTGTATACAAATGACCTTGTATCTGTCCAAATAAAAAATTTAATCTAGGTTGCAGAATGACATGTTTATGGATTGATCTAATTCGGTTCACATTTACATCTTTTTTCATCTAATTTCGTGTTAATGGTTCTTCAAAAATGCGAAGTCTGAAAATTTTAATCTGCTGAATATACCCAAAGTGGTGAAGGGTATCATATAGTCGGCCCCGTTCGACTTTACTACTTTCCTTACTGGTTTTATATTAAAGTAGTTATATGATTTGTTCCGTATTTGGGTTTGGTTCTAAGACTCTGTTGTAATCATTTCATCTGCGGAAGATACGAAAAAAACTAGAACATAAGGTTCGATAATTAACCTTATATATATGAACTGTAACCCGCATTTAGACATAGCGCCTATGTAGGAGGTACCAGAAGTAGTGGGCCGATATTCCCCATGTTCGAACTTGAACTAATTTTGGAAGAAATAATAAGATGGACAAAGTTTTGATGAAACCTAATTTAAAAAAAAAAAAAATTTGATCCAAAGAAACATGGGGTCTAGGACCGATATCTACAACCATAATCGGTTTGTACAAATGTCGGTATAGGCACACTTCTCGGCCCGGTCGAACTTAACGCTTTTTCACTTGTTATTTCTAAACCAGTGAGCGGAACACTATAGTCGGACGGGGACCACAATATGTTACCCTACACAACTACCAATGAGCGCTCGGATTTATATCCAAGACTGGGTAACATTTCGCGATTTGACTGATTGTTATTGGCCTTCATTATCATAACAGTCATTCCAATTAGTTGGTCAGAACGTCCTCCCCATGAAATGTTTGTGATATTCGACTTATATAAATATTTCTTCGTGGCCTTTATGCTGTTTACAAGTTACAATGGACAGACGGATGGACACACATGTCTAGATCAACACCAAAAGGTGGGTCAAGGAACAATATTTTTTCGCGGCTTTACTGTTCGTATGAAAAACGATAGAATGTTCCTCTAAACCATCTGTTGTTCCCCTCCCCTTAAAGATGGTCTCTGGCGTCATGAGGGGACACATGGCGGCATTCTATTTTCCTTGTCAGACCCCAAGTACCGCCGGCCACCGACTTGAGGATCTTATTCCTATGTCTTAGCTTATCACAAATAGCAGGGACTTGCGCCGGCGTCTTAAAAGGGCTGTCGAACGTTACACCCAATATCATAAAGTCGGTGGTTGGTAGTTGATAACTACAATCTGCTCTCCATCCACAATTATGTCCAGCGGGTGCTTCATTTCAGTCGTCTAAGTGGTGAACAATGTGGTTGTGGGTTTGACGATTAACAATACCAGCTATATAGACGTTTAATCTCTCACATATTTCATCAAATATAGGATCCGACGCTATGATCGTACTATCATTCGCATACATTACGATCTTTACGCCTTACGGTGTTTTTGGATCTCCTTCTTTTATTCTGCAGGTCTTGTTCAAATTCTTGTTTCTGATTTCCACATATGACTGGCTTCCACGCAGATATTTGGTTTCCTCGATTTTCTGGTCTTCTTGATATCCTCAAAAAGTTTGGCATAGTTACAGTATCGAAGGCCTTCGATAGGTCTAGAGCCATTATGACCGTTCTACGGTATGTTCTGGCGTGGCAAAACTGTTGTTGTTCTGTGTATTTAACGGAATCCATTTTGGTGTTTCCGGTTTTGGCTTAAATGAGCCCTAAACCAAACAGCAATTGTCCTTTAAGATCTTCAAAGATTAGCCAAATCCAACCAATGTTGTTTTTGAGGGAAGCATTTCAAAGAAAATGTTCGACAGTTTCTTTGTCAGAAATTGTCATTGGTGACTGTTCGCTTAAGCAAGATCGGCCGGTCAATTCAGATCGGTACCCACAATGTGTATGGCTGAAGTCTTCGGAGAAATAACAAGTGAAAAAGCGTTAAGTTCGGCCGGGCCGAACTTTGGATACCCTCCACCATAGTTATACTGACAGATACATGCAATGAAAATATAGGAAACAAACCAAAGAGTAGGCATATACCGATAATTCTACAAACCGATTTATGTAAACCATTATGTACACGAAATACAAACATGAGAAATTTTTAATGGGAATTTTTCCTAAAATCTGTAAGATCCAAAAAGTGGACTGATACTGATAACGCATGGTAGAGTATAAAATCCTCAAACTACTATAATTTATATTACAAAGTTATATGAGGCTATGCCTAAAGGGGGACCAATATTGATTATATAGTGTAGGAAATAGTGAATATTTGGGATATCATTATATGACGGCTATGCATAATTAATGACCGGTATTTGCCAATTTTGAACCCAATATTTTAAATTTTTTATCTCAATTCTTTCCTTCAGGAGGTATCACTATATTGGGGAGATGCCTAAATGTCTGCCAATATATATTTCATTATCGTCATGTTTGAGTTTTTTTTTATCACAATATCTTTAGAAGGCGGAATGCTTACCACAGATGGCTAAATAGTCTTTGTAGGCTAAAAATTGGCTATTCCCTGCAACGACTACCCTACCGCAACACACGGAACAAATCAGATAACTATTTTAATATAAAGAGGGGGTTATATGGGGACTACCCCAAAAAGTGGGCAAATATTAATACTTTTTGGAAGGGAGTTTTGTTACCATATACGACTACAAAATACCAAATTTCAGCGAATTCGGTCGAAAAACGCACTCAAAACCCCCAAAATACTGAACATTAGGAGGTACCGTTATATGGGGGCTACCAGAAAAAGTGGACCTATATTCATATTTTTGTGTGGAGACATTTAGTACCCAATGAGAACCCAATGTAGCAAATTGCAGCAAATTCGGTTGAAAAACGCGCTCAAGAACCCAAAAATACTGAAAATATGGGGGTACCCTTATATGGGAGCTATGCCTAAACATGGACCAATATAGCCCATCTTCGAACTTGACCTGCCTGCAGACAAAAGACAACTCTATGCTAAATTTTGGCGTTCTATCTTAATTCATTTAGACGCTAGAGCGATTACAACAGACAGACGGACATGCCTAGATCGCCATAGAATTTTACGCTGATCAAGAATATAAATACTTTATGAGGTCGGAAATGATTATTTCCATGCGTTACAAACGGAAAAACAAAACTAATATACCCTTTATACTATTGTGGAGGGTATAAAAAATCGAGTAGGAGAAGACATCTCTTATACATCGACTGAAGTAGGTGCATTTTTAATTGACCATGGAAAAAAAATGCGGCATCAATCGCAGTGGAGAAAGTTCTTTGAAAATTAGTTTGAGCGCATAAAAAACTGTATAAAAACCAGTAAGGAAAGTAGTAAAGTCAGACGGGGCCGACTATATGATACCCTTCACCACTATGGGTATATTAAACAGGACTATAACATAAAATTGGAAGAAAAAAAATGTGATATTTATCTAAATGTGAATCTACCTAGATTTATCCATAAAGTATGTCAATCGACTTCAAACAAATATAAATAGGTCATCCGTTGGGCTATGTCTGCACTTCTAGAAAACGCAACTAATTCTATGCTCAATTTTGTAAGTTGTGCAAAATTTGATGTCAATCTGACTAACATGAGGAGTTTGATGCCCAATTTATTTGAAATCGGGCGAAAATATATATGGAAGCTCTATCCAAATATTTAGGTTATACTAATTTCAGAACGTTTTGTTCCTATTGATTCCTTAGTACGTCAATTACTTAAAATCAATCTATAATAAAAGGGAGCTATATCTAAATCTGGACCGATTTTCACGAAACTTGGCAGACATCATTCTAGGCTCAATTAAGTACGTTATGCCAAATTTCGTGCAAATCGAAGGATATATAGGGACTTTGGTGCGTTATGCCAAATTTCGTGCCAATCAAAAGATTTTTCCCAATTTCAATAGGGTTCGTCCTTGGGCCGAATAAGTGACCTATGCCAAATTTCATCCAATTCGGATCATAAATGCGACCTGTACTTTGTTTACAATTTAACATGGACAGACGGACGGACGGACATGCATAAATCGACTTAGAAAGTGATTCTATGCATATTTCTGCAAAAGGAACCATGTGTATATAAGGTTTCCTTTTGTCTGTTACAAACATATGCACAATATATATATATATATATATAATGATTTACATGTGCTAGATCCTCAGATCGCATGTGTCGAATGAGTGGCCCGCCGGACTGACAAAGGCCTTCAAAGTACCGAGAATAGGCAGTATTGAAGGCTAACGTGGAGCTAAATTGAACATTGTTGTATGTAATTTTTGGAATAATAGTTTTTTTACAGACATAAATTCATTAACAGATTTCCTGTATAAGCTTTACTATATTGAACTCATCTGTAGATAAACATCCAAGACAATTCACGTACAATATCCTCAAAATTTCGAAAGTGTGAAGAAGGGAGAAGAGTCGTATGGGGAATATATTTTATGGTTTGGAGAATTGTCATTCCATTAGAACCTAAAATGTAAAATTTCAATCCAATCTTTCTAAATCTAAAATCTTAAATATACCAGAAATCGGAAGATGATATGCCTAAATGGGGACCTGTATGATCCATCTTCGGAATTACTTCCATACAAAAGAAATACACTTTATGTTTAGATTCAGTCGGAATTTAGCATCATAAAAATATATGCACGATAAATCATATTGGAATTTTCTTCTGATCAAGTATATATATATATATAGTTTCTAAATCGATTATTTCCCAGTCACAGACAGTCACATACAATATTTTATTGCCAATTTATAGCCCTTTAAAATTGACAATATTTTATCACATTTTAAATACTTGCTCATGCAATATTTTCCAACGTACATAAATGCATTCGAATACACACACACACATACACAGCACTTACATATCCTGCTAATGATGTTTAGCTTCTGCCAACAACCATCTCTATTTATTTGCCATAATCATTAATGTTCTCCATTTCCGTTTCCTGTCGCCCATTTATCCATTTTGTAATTGTTGTTGTTATTGTTTTTTTTTCATTTTATAGGTGAAGAACCAGCTGCCATGCAGCATGCATCAGGGTCGACAGTGTCGCCCATACTCTCGGTTGTGTTATTTACAGTAATTGCAGCATCATTGTTTGCAGAAATGCTATGTCAACGATGACGACGATACTAAAAAAATGTAAAGCATGAAGAAGAAGAACAGATGAAAAAAAAACTAAAATACTGGCATCATCATTTCATCGTAACCATGGTTAAACAGCAAGCGAGCGGCCCAGCCAGTCAACCATTCAACCAAACCCATAGGGCATGACGGATGTATGCTGGCTGGTGGACGGATGCGGATATCCTCTCCATTACACCATGTATGCCATGCGATGAAACCAATAGCAGCCGCAACAACAACAACAGCATAGCATATATACTAAACATTCCATTCCATACCTACTTAACTAATATATAAGTACTACAACAACAACACGATGAAGAAGAAGCAGAAGCATCAAAAAAATACAACAAACTGGCATACAGAGATAAATAACCGATGTGTCTATTAGATAATTAACATTAGGGCTTTTTTGTTGTTGTTGTTCTTATTTATTATTATCATGCGTTTTTTATTTCCATATACATACATATATTAAGTTCCGGATATATAAGCCAACATCAAATGACAACTACTTGCTCGTGGTAATCAGATGTGTAACTAACCAAGCAACCAGTCACCTAGTCAGTCATCCAGCAAAGTCAACTGGCACATAGTTAGCGAACAGTGCGAACATTGAAGAGTGCAAAGGTTCATGGGTTAACAATGTATGTGTGTATGTATGTATTCTACATGTGCGTGTGTGTTATGCTCTTTATTATGAACTAATACATAAACATTAACATTTCATTAAAATATTAAGATATGTGTGTGTGCAAGTATCTATGTATATATAGAGTGTTTAATTAAAGAAAAACTTTTTCCCGCACTGACATTGCAACAACAACAAGAGCAACAAAAAACCATTTGCATTTTTTGTTCCCGACAGAGGCCATATCCGTTTTCAGTGATGCCCTTGAGTCAAGTTTGTCTCTATTACGAAGTGGATAGTTGTTTTTTTTTTTCATTTGTGCTCTTGAAGATATTACCATCGCAGGCAATGAAAACCACTGCCCTGACCCCCAACAATGATAATCTGTAAAAGATGAAAACTAATCTGGAATAATAAAAATGACTGCGTCTTTTTTTTTTTTTTTTTTTTTTTTTTTTTTGTCGACCATTATGTTTCTTTTGAATGGTAGGAATTATTACATTTCGTAAGAACTTGATTTTATAAGGACATCGAAGGACAATGCGATGTAAATGTGCAGAACACGTGAAGCGATATTAGGTTGGATAAGAAAGATTTATTTGTTCTACTGCTGAAGTTCCTTTATTGATTTTTCATAGTTCTTTTGTAGATGAAATATGTTTTTGGACTTCTACAGCCTCCTTCAGGTGTTATGTGGATAGAAAACATAACAAATCGATTTTTATATGAGACCGAGCTTCTTGAAAAATGAAGGCTCTATATGTTTTCATAGATTGAATATATATACAGGGTTGCCCATATTCGACGGACCCATCTGGCAACGCCATACCTTTTGACAGAGATGTCACATCGCTTAATGACATACCGCGTTTGAAGCGTCAGTCCAAGCAGTTTTTACCATGAGCGCCACGCGAGCGCTCTGAAATAGTTGAAATTTAAATTTATAGTTGAAACGTGCTTTTAAAACATTAAAAAATGTGAGAAGTGCTCATCGTTTATACGAAAAATTTTCGAGGTAAGGCTGAAAGGCCATATAAAAGTACCATGGCGATCGCCGAGAACGCTGCCGTACGAGCCAGAGAGGTCCCCAAGAACGTCAGCAGTTGAGCATGGCTCGGTCCACTTTACAACGGATTATTCGCATTGATTTGCATTTGTTCCCGTAAAAATTCAAAAAAATGTTGCCTGCGGACAAGCCTCGTCGATTGGAACGGGTCCAAAGAGTCATCGAAATGGCCGAAGATGACGAGCAATTTTGGAACAAAATTATCTTGTCCGATGAATCCCATTTCACATTGAATGGGACCGTAAGCAAGCAAAATTGCCGTTTTTACGCCACTGAAAATCCTCAGCAGATTCAAGAAGTGCCTCTTCATGACGAAAAAGTCACAGTTTGGTGCGGCGTTAGTGCGAAAACGGTCACTGCCGTTTTTCTTCCAAAATGAAAATGGCCATGCTGTTACCATCAATCAGGAGCGTTATCGCGACATGATGACCAATTTTATGATGCCAATTATTCGTCGAAAGCGTATGAGGCAGTTCTGGTTTCAACAAGACGGCGCTCCACCGCACACAAGTCGCATAACAATCGATTTTCTGAAGAATTTGTTTCCGGGCCGTTTGATGTCGAAAAGTGGTGATTTGAACTGGCCACCGCGTTCGCCCGATTTGACGCCGCCTGATTTCTTCTTGTGGGGATATTTGAAGTCAAAGGTTTACGTTAACAAGCCAAGGATTAACATTACCAACCGCCAAATTTTTATTTTTTCTTTGATTTTTATAAAAAACATGGGTCCGTCGAATATGGGCAACCCTGTATATGTAGATAGAATCCTTCAAAGTTAATTCTGAATGTAAAATAACAAACTAGTAAGGAATGGACAAAAAAGGGCCCTGTTCTAGCCCACACGATGGCTATGTACAAATTACGCTCCTAATATTCTTATTGAATTCTCAAACAATATACCGATTTAAATCTTAACAGATATTCCTCTGTGATGATATCCTCGGAGGACCATTGAAATGAAATCGGACAAAATTAAATATGTGGTAAATATCTATATATGTCCTCCGACAATCTATACACCTTCATTCCTCGGTCCTTCGATCTACCATTTGTAAGAAATCAAAGGAAATTGTAAATGCCAATCTGGACCGATTTAAAACAAAGTTTATACACGCAATTGGGTACGCTGCATTACAGCACGCTATGTAAGATTTTATTTAAATCAAAGAATTTTAGAGATTTTGGTATAACATTTACATGAATACGAAAGAAACTACATATGAGAGCTCGTTTCCACGACAGAGGGGTCTACGATCCGAAAAGAGCCGAGTCTTACTCTGCCAACGTCTGTCACCTCAGCTCATGGTATAAAAGCAATAGGGCTGCTACAACAACAACATATAAGAGCTATATCTAATTCGGAAACGAATTCAAAAGAACTAAATTTTCCGAATTTTGTGCACTATTTACATGAAGTCGAACAATACTATATAGCTCATTTGCTGCAAGACCGACATAAATCAAAAATCGAGATTTTTGAATTAATAATGCAAAATTGTTCCCCATATCAGACTTCATATCTACAACCCCTTCTATAATACTTGAAGTTTATTAAATTACGTACAGCTACTTTTAATCGAAACTCATGTTCCAATGTGTTCATCCTGAAAAGTACCCGAAAAGAACAAGATAGATGACAAGATAGAGAATGGGAAGTGGGAAGTGGGAGAAATTCAATTACAGATTTTTGGCAAAAATATATATTTTAATGACATCTATTCCGGGGAAGAATGTTAGAGTATCAATATCGTATATACCGAACAGTGGTAGTAGATGTTCGATAGTTTCCATAGATCTTCCTATCCTCTCACAAACGTCAGATTTTACTTTATTAATGTTCCAATTGAATGTGGGAGATCTAGCCCTGTAGTGATCTGTTATGAACCCTACCGTAAGTGTTTGTTCTCAACATCGTGACAATTTCAGCCAAATGGATTTTGATATACCGAACTCAGACTCCCCAAACCCTCTGCCACCAGCTTTCTCGGACTAGATATTGTGGATTTTGCGAATATTAAACAATAGGTAAATTTACAGATTCCTCAATCTGTAGATCGGACAACTGTCACGACATCTGGCGAGCTCATCAGTTTTTGTTTTACACCTTTTTATACCCTCCACCATAGTATGGAGGGTATATTAATTTGTACTTCCGTTTGTAACTCATCGAAATATTCATTTCCGACCCTATAAAGTATATATATTCTTGACCACGGTAAGATGATCTAGCCATGTCCGTCCGTCCGAAATAGATAGAATTGAGATAGGTATTTTGCCTGCAGACAGGTCAAATTCGAAGATGGGCTATATCGATTCGCGTTTAGGCATAGTCCCTATGTAAGTGTACCGCCCAATTTTCGATATTTTGGGGTTCTTGAGCACGCTTTCCTACCGACTTCGCTGAAATTTGGTATATTGGGTTCCTTTTGGGTTCCAAATGCATCTACTAATAAAAATTATAAATACCAGCCTACTTTTTTTGGTAGCCCCCATATAACGGTACCCCCCAATTTACGATATATTTTTTTTTTTTTGGGGGGTGGTTTTAAGCGCTCTTATTGGGTACCTAATTTCTCCACCAAAAAAATTAAATATAGGCGTATTTTTTCGGGTAGGCCCCATATAAAGGCACTTCCAATTTTCGGTATTTTGGAGTTCTTGAGCTCGATTTTCACCCCAATTCGCTGAAATTTGGTACATTGGGTTATTTTTGGGTACCACATGTCTCCACTAAAAATTATAAATTTCAGTCCACTTTCTTGTAGCCCCCACATTACGGAACCCCCAATTTACGGTATTTTGGGGAATTTTTTCGCGTAGCCCCCATATAATTTCGGTATTTTGGGGTTCTTGAGCGTGTTTTTCAACCGAATTCGTTGTACTTTGGTTATTATTTATATTCGCCCCCTTTTAGCGGTAGGGGATAGTAGTTACTCGAAATAGTCAGTTTTACACTACAAATTAAGGTTTCCGCTTTCTAAGGAAATCGTGATAAAAATTCAAACCTGACGATAATGAAATATATCGGCCAGCATTTAGGCATCTCCACCATATAATTATACCTGCCGAAGGAAAGAATTGAGACACATAACGAAAATATTGGGTTCGAAAATGACATATGTCGGTCATTAATTAGGCATAGCCCTCATATCAGTCCACGCTTTGGGTTCACTTTTGGTATGTTCCCTACATTTTCATTTCAAGTCTGTCAGTATACCTATGGTGGTCTGTCAGTATACCTATGGTGGAGGGTATCCAAAGTTCGGTCCGACCGAACTTACCACTTTTTCACTTGTTATTTTTTTATTTTTTTTTTTTTTTTTGGTTATG